GCCCACTTTTACCATCCTCCTGATAAACTATCTAGAGGATAGTTGCCATGGTTACGGCGGTTTTAAGCGCTCTCATTGGCTAAGAACTGGATTTATCTATCGGATAAATTTATCAGGAGGTGGTAAAAGTGGGCCTTAGTCAAAGAAGGTTGATAAGGTATAGATAAGAATTTTTGTGTATATTTGTTGTGTGAATATAAATAATGGTATAAATAGTATACCATTCTATTAATGTGTGAATTTTGGACATTGAAATATGTTTTGCATTTCGGCGATAGTGAAGTTATTGTTTATTCCTATTTTAATAATTTTTTGAATTTCTGAGATGGTTTCTCCCTTATTAAGGGGTACATTGTATAAGCTATCAAAGCAAAATCTAAAACTCGCTGTTTTATATTGATAACAGGTAAAAAAGTTATTGTAAAATATTATCTGTATTGTTTCTAATAATTTGAAGGTCAAGAAAATTAAGTGTGTTTATTGTTTTCTTTTTCAATAGTGAATTGCAAAATAAAAAAATTTTATAAATTTTAATAAAAAATATAGCTTCATCGTTAACCTAGAGTTTTAATAGTTCTATCAATATTGAACGATGAGTTGAATCTACAATTGCTAAACTTATGAAAAAATGTCTTACTCAAATAAAATATCTAATGAATATATAATTGCATTAAGCTATTTTGTGGTAGAGGAAAAAATTGCAGACATTATTTTGGCGGATAATTTCGACCTGTCGGCTAAAATCGACCACGTGGTCGGCTAATATCGATCGGGTATTTTTACAAGAGATTTATTAAAAACGAATGTAAAGAATATTTTTTATTTTGAAAAAGGAAACTGAAAATAATTAACATTTGTTGCAAATATAGCCTTGCGCCTTCTCAACGTCGGTACAATCAACGTGAGCCCAACCCCCACATGAGCGACATCTCCACCACAATTCATTGTTTCTTCCAAAATCATCTTCTGTTGTTGACCTAGACACAGCTTAACTCTCTTCGCGGGCTTTTTCTTCATTTTCCTTCTTTTCCAGTTCTTCTTTAACTGGCGTTGAAGTCAGAATAACGGAATGTTGCATTCTACTAGTGTTACTTCTAGTTTTCACTGTCGGTAATGGTAAAAGATCTATAAAACTTGCGTTTTCTTTCTTAGGTTGAACAGTCTTGTCTTCCTCATCAGTCTAAAACTTCTTCTAAACCTAATTCTGAGGAAGATTCTGATTCTGGCGACTTTCGACGACATTTAAGTTTAAAAAGAAACTCTCGTGAATTTAGTTCAGGGATAGAAAAAGGTGTTCTGTCCAAATTTTTGACTGGCTGAGCATTATTACTGCTTTGTGTGTCAGCAGCCGATGTAGGATGCGTCGTACAAGAACAAAACGATTGAAAGGGAATATCCCGATCACCTGGAAAGCCTTCACTCCTTTCTCCACCGTTGCTACTTTATTATAAGCATTCCTGAATAATTCTGCGATATCGGTTTACAAAATTTTTTCGTGTTGCTTGGCTTTTATATACCTATCACATTCTTGCCCATAGGCAATCTTTAGTGGGCCAAAAAAACAAACGTCTAAAGGCTGAAGTTTGTGTGATGTGTGGGGTAGAACTGAAACAACCTTAATGCCGTTATCTCTGCAGAAATTGTGATAAAAATAACCATTTCATAGTTCATCGAGAAAAACATAACCATAAAATTTTGACAGAGAAATTTTTGTTGGTAGAAATCTTATTTAAAACCGTTTAGTTTGCTTCCAGAGGTATCAATTAAATTAGTTCAGCTCCTAAAGCACATTTTTCATCCATCCTTTGATGTTTTAACGTTATTTTGAAGAAGAAATCGTTGATTTAAAATTGAATTTTTCTAACTTTACTCATTGATGGAATTTGGCGTGTACTCCAATGTATATCTGAAAACAAGAAAAGACAACGATAAATACGAAGTTTTATTACGATTCATAAAGAAATAAGAGAGAAATTAGTGGAAAAAGAATTTAATTTTGAAGGTTAGTTCCAAGAAAATCCGAGAGATGACGCTAATTTCGACGCAAAAATTTTAAATTTTGGAAAAGGCGCGAACCTAAGAACCAATCAGAAACGAGGAAGAAACAGGAGGGGAGCCGAGTATAAAAGGAAATTGCAAGCAAACAGGAGACAGTCGTCATCTGACCGGCAATAAATTCATGTCGGTTGACAGAAAAAAAAAATAACCTCAAAATTATAAAATAATTGAATTATCCTCAAACCTTATCCGAGAACTCCTGAAACATCTTCGAAGTCATCCAAATCCGAAGGACAAGCAGTCCACTCATCCGTCAGAAGAATCCCGAATAATCCGAAAGAGAGACCTGAAATTACGAGGAATCCAGAAAACTAGCTCGAACTCCGAAACCAAGAGAACAATCCATTATCCTGTTATCACATTTAATCCAAACCCTTTTTCTTCGCAGTGAGTCGGTTGATAATTTATTTTTTTTTTTATTTAACATAACCTATAAAAGAAAAATTAACCAATTAAACTCAAAAGATAACTCACAAGAGTCTCCTTTATAATTCATTATCAATACTTGTGGGTAAAGATTTTTCAGTTTTTCTTGTGTAACGTTCACTTTCTTTTAACGATTTCAATTTAAAACGTTAACCATTTTTATTTCAAGGACGGATATAACGAGTTTTCTACCCCGTTCTCTCTCAAAAAGATAAAAAATAAACGTGTTCTCTCTCAGATCGATTTTTCAGTCGATAATTGTAGTTTTCTGTTTTTATTTAAAAGTTTTACCTATCGTCGATAGAAATTTAATTTAAATCCAAAAGAAATTTATTTTTTTTTGACTGAAGTTGCCCGAAACCCTGAGTTTAATTAGAGTTAAAACTATTATTATTGTAATTAATTAAATTAAAGAAAACCTTATTTTTTTGAAAAACCGAACATTGTAGTTTTACTTCAATTAATCAAAGTCACCACACATACAAGTGGGACACATACAGTAAAACATTACAGTACCTAAGTTTAAATGAGTAACATGATTGTCCAAAACTAATAAAACTGGATCTTCCTTGGTAGGTTTTGTGAACTTAGCAAAATGATCCATTCAGTGAAAAGACATTCCGTGATCCATCCAGACTTAGAACATCGGTAAATAGCGCTTGCTGGTCCATTTTTTTCATTCTCTCCCTTTTGAATATAAACATTGGGGGGGTGTAGAAGCCAGCAGCGCTCATTGCGATAGCGACAGTCACTAACTGACCTCTTCTGCCCACATTACTTATCCCTGATTCATCAACATTAAAAATACGATGAGCTTCAAATTTATGTTGGCTGGTACAGTTTTTATAAATTATCTTAAAAAATAATCACCTTTCTTGTTGAACGCTAAAATGCGGTTTAGACTGGTAGCCTCTGGTCTCTGATAGGTTAAAGTTGGATTTCTCTCCATGAAGGAGTAGAGCCAATCTTTTCCACATATACGTTTCTGTTTGTTGAAATTGTGTTTGAGCTTATTTGCCTCTGCAAACTCGTAGGCGAGTTCTCGGATTGATTTAGCAGTTAATCCATAAAATACTTTAGAAAGACTTGCTAGCTCTGGCTCTTGCTCTACACTAAAGACGGGTTTTCTTCCTAATTTGTACTTATTTACAGAAAAACGACCTCTTAAGCGATCTTGCAAGGTTCCGTAAGGCACATCAAACATTTGTGCAGATTTTCGTATTGATAAGGTTTTTGACAAATTCTTTGACATGTTCTCTTCCGACCTTGCAGAACGTGTGCTTTTCTGAATATATTTTAAACTTGACATCTGTAGAAAAGGAATGCCATTAGTAATAATATCGACCACAGTAGAGAAATATCGACCCCTCTAGTCCATATTAATCTACCGGCGGTTAATACACATTTTGTTCATTCGCACAGAATTATGTTAGGAAATAATTAGTATTCCATTGTAAAATTAAAGTTATTATTGCGTAAGTACACTGTACTACAAAAACTAAACTCACGCTAAAAAGATATTCGCCTTCTTTCTCCTAATTAGCAAAGCAAAAATTTTTTTATTTTATTCTACCAAAAGAAGACATCTCTATATCTTCCATTGAAACCCAACAAAAAAAAAACTTGTATAATCAGAATCCTTAACGCCTACAAAGCCATTAAAGTGTAACTACCGTAGCATTAACGTTCCCAAGCTCGTCGTCGCAAACGAGGACCGTTCCCTAGACAATGGGCGTTGAATAAAACTATATGCAACGCGCGCCTTGTGAATCGTTTGCTGAAGACGATTGAGCATCATGACAAATCGAGCCTTTTGCACAACGCCATGTATCGGCTCGTAAAAACCGGCGCCGGAGATGG